AGAGAGTATGAATTAAAGCTATCTGGTTACAGACGTTATTTGTGCAAATTTTGAAAGGTAAGTATGCTAAATAAGTTATGTGATTGACTTTAAGTTTTAAAGCTGTGATCTTATCCTATCATTATCGACTTAGGCCTATATTGCCATAGGCGTAGGCCTAGGCCTAGCCTGTTTTTTCACCTTCGGTGTTCGGAGTCGTACTTAGCTTCACAATCCAGACTTAGCCCTATCCCCCCTTAGCATCTAAATATCTTGAAATGAGAATTTCAGACATCGAAATCAAATTCTAGACTAAAATTGGCATGCTAAAACAAAAAACAAAAAGCCGACAATCTAGATTTTGCCTTCACTAAGTGACGGACGTCCCCCTTAACCAAAATTCAAAGCCTGTATTTCGAGTCAAAAATCTATTCTCAAAAGGTATAAGTAGTCCGAGATTGTCATCGGGTTGATGCAAATGCCAACAAATAAAAAAAATAAACTAGAACTGTTCTAATAACAGTACTGATGCAGGGCGTGTTACGACATTGAGGTACATACGAAGATGGTCTATTGCAATTACATTGATGTAAATACCTTTCTGCATCTCTAAATGCAAATGTCCAAAAGTGCTTGGAGTTTAAAGTATATCGACAAGGAATAAAAGAATGTTTGTCAATTAATAAAGACTAAGTTTGATGAAATCCGGATAAGAAATAAGAAATTTGGCAATGCGATATTTCCATCTAATTTATAATTGGATTATACACATACCTAGCAAGTTTGATTAAATTCGGATAAGAAATAAGAAAGTTGATAATGCGCATGCGCACATCAAAAATTTAATATTTCCATCAAATTTAGAATTGGATTATACACATACATACCAAGTTTTGTGAAATTCGAATAAGAAACAAGAAAGTATGTAATGCGCAAAAATTCAATATTTTCATCAAATTTAGAATTGGATATACATGCCAAGTTTGGTTAAAATCGGGTAAGAAATAAGAAAGTTGGAAAATTAAGTGGGGATATGCCTTTTTAATGTGCTTCCATAAGCTCAACTTGTGTCGGACACAAAAAATATTAGCATCATGTCAATAGTAAACATTAATGTAAATATCAACGTCATCCGAGGCCAAGTTCCTTTCAAAGTTTTAAGGAAATTGCAACATTTCCTTTAATGTGACTTTGACATCATCAAATGCCACATGAATTGAAACCATTTATTAAGTGCATTAATAATCTGAAAGTGGTATGGCGCTTAATCAATTAGGGTTTGAGATACAGCACTGCAAAAATGCCAAATTGACCATATTTAGATTTTATAAAATCAGAAGTTGTTGTTTGACCCCAAAGGTCAAAAGGTCACGAGAAGGTCAAGGGCAGCCTTTATCGCCATAGTCAATATAAAGGTCATCAAAGGTCAAGGTCATGAGTCAAGCTTTCAAACTCTGAAAAAAAAAACATTAGGTCGTACAAAAAAGGCAAAACCGAAATTCAAAATTATGCTTCCCATTTTTTGTAGACAGACATTAAACGTATTGTATGACACAAAGTTACGCAAATCGAATGATAAATGGCCTCTGAATAGCAATTTCTGCAAAATGAGGGAAACGAAAATGGCGGCCTACATGTTACTTCCGGTGCGATTTTTTTTAGTTTAGTAAGTTTGTATTAAGGCTGGTACTATAGTGCATATGTTATTTTGGACATAACTCAATTTCACCGGAAGTAATACCACCGGAAGTACTAACATCGAAACCGGAAGTGATAAAAAAATTTTGAATGTGTGCTTTTATTCCACTATGCTGGCAGTCTACACCATGTAAGTTTCAAGACAATCCACTAAATAACAACCGAAATAGTATTTTCTGATTAATTACGGCAAAAAAAAAAGTATGGAACGAATTTTCGAAAATTTGCTGAGAAAATTTTCGTTTTACATTTAAACTGTGATTAGCCACGAGTTAGAAAACGCCCTGCAAAAAATTAGAAAGAGGAGAGTAGGAAAGGTTTGGTTCTGTTATAATTGGTGCGGTAGTGGGAGAATTCTGTGTTCCTCTACAATTTTATACAGGCCAAATGATTATATTGTTTCGACTATAATCACCCCTAAACAGTGAACAATAATAGCCTGACGTGAACACTTATTAATTAACAGAATTTTACAACCGCTTGGTTTCTATGTTAAATAAAGACTTGATAATCGACATGGGCTAGAGCGAACTGACGTTATCGATTAGTCTTTCGGACTTCGTGCTATCTAGTTGTTACTTGCTAATAAAATATGGAAGGAAGGTTGCCATGGTAGGCTCAATAAATGTCTAAAGAAATATCCCGGATTTATCAATTGTAAGTTAGTCATATATATATATATATATATATATTTACACATTTAAAACTAGACACTCACCTAAAAGGTGGATATCTAACACGTGGGACTTATTATTGAGAATAACTGCTTGCATGAGCACACACCGAATGCTATGTGCTTATCTCGGTTTTGTTCGCGTGCTTACAATATCATTTATTTGTTCAAATTTTCGTGGTAGACCGACCTGCTACGGTGGTATAAGATACTCTTTATAAAAGCTTTTGACAGAATATCCAAAATCACAAGCATAGATGTTGGGTACAAACTATCTTTGGTCATTGGCTTGTTGAAAAAAATTTAATCTAGGAGGACGGGGAATGCAACTAACGCGATTTTGGCAGTGAAAGTTATTGTGACTAAGATATGCAGTGTCTTTAATCCTCCGTCCACTCTAACAGCTCATTTTGAGAATAATTGAGGGCATAATCCCATTAAATACTACGTGTATGTCCGCCGATTTTAAAATAACCCACACCGACCTGAAACCCCGGGAAGGGGTTTTCCTTGGGGGCAAATGAGACAAAAAGGGGGCTAGGAAGATTTGGGGGGGGGGGGGGGGGGTTCTGTTTAAGTGATTTTTGACTCGAAATACAGGCTTTGAATTTTTCAGACATCTATATTTGAAACATACGTCATGGTTTCCCGGGACTATATATAGGTGACAGACGACAAGATAAAGCAATATTATGCTGCGACTGAGGAAGTAGAACCCCGGGGAAGGGTCTTCCTTGGGGTAAATGAGAGAGGAAAAAGGGGTGAAGAAGTTTTTGGTTGAAACGATTTTAAAAATTTGTCGTTTTTGACAATTTTTTTTCATGAATTTGCCTTTATTTCATGTATTTTTTCGGACCCCCGTATTTAAAACAAACGTCCATGGTTTTCCGTGACTAGGCATATAATATATTATAGGAGACTGACGAAAAAGTAAAGCACTATTATATTGCGACTGGGGAAGGTGAACTCCGGGGAAGGGTCTTCCTTTGGGTAAATGAGAGAATAAAAGGGGTGAAGAATTTTTTGAGGGAAACGATTTTAAAAATTTGCCGTTTTTGACAATTTTTTTCCCATGAATTTGCCTTTATTTCGTGAATTTTATCGGACCCCGCATTTAAAACAAACGTGCATGGTTTCCCGTTATACTATACAGGAGACGGACGACAAAATAAAGCAATATTATACTGCGACTGGGGAAGGAGTAGGCTACCCCGGGGAAGGGTCTTCCTTGGGGTAAATGAGAGAGAAAAAAGGGGTGAAGAAGTTTTATTGGAAAAGATTTTAAAAATTGCCGTTTTTAACATTTTGAATAAAAAGCATTACTTTTCACCTAGGTGAATATTAATTTTTGATGAAAAGGTTTAATTAACTGATAATTCCTGTAATTTTGAATTAAAAACTTTAATTTCCTGTAATTTTTAATTTAAAACTTTCATTTTCACCTAGGTGCTAATTATTTTCACCTAGGTGAAAATAAGGTGATAATTCGTGTATTTTTTAATTAAAAACTTTAATTTCCACCTAGGTGAAAATAATTTCCACCTAGGTGATAATTCAACGAATCTTGTAAAAAATGTTTTCGATTAAAAATTCTTCAATTATCACCTTGCTGGTAAAAATTATTTTCACCTAGGTGAAAATTCAAGTTTTTAATTAAAAATTACAAGAATTATCACATACATAAAATACATACGCGTATGTTTTATCGGGATATTGCGAATTTACATATAGGCCTAATTATATGACGCTGGCTGGTTGGAATGTTCTTAACGGGTATGATGAAATAAAACAATAGATAAATCTTGTCGTTTTTCAATATGATATAGCAAATGTTTAGCCATCCCACTATGGCGAATTTGAACGTAAATTAAAGTAGGCTAAGCGCGCCATAATCTTTTTTTAAAATTTACACACCCCCGATGATGCGTTTATTCTAACACGATATTAAAGTACTTTACGATGGTTAGACATAGAGTTGATCCCTCAGAGAAATGGCTTGCCTCCCAGAAAAATTCCATTACTGCAACTAAGCACCTTACACCATTGCCATTCTGTATGTACTTGCCCCTTCAAACAATCAAGTCTTGCTACGGGCCTAGCCATTCTTATAAGACAACGTTAGGCTACCTATGCCTTAACACAATCTCAATATGACCTAGCAACCATTCGTTGAAACGTATTAAATTCATAATTGAATCAGTACTGGGATTATACTTAAATCCCGAGTATTACTTTTTGGCCCACCCGATATAAAGCGTAGATAAATATGCCTTTAGTTATAAGTCTATTTTATAATATTGCAGTAGGCTATTATACATAAATCGTTAAAGCGTTAAGGGAGAATAAACGCCAGATTTATCACCTAGGATCTTTATGTTTACGTAAAGTGTGAGGGTTTTTTTTTATATTAAAAATACATCGGAATATTACCCGTGTGAATTGGTTCGAACTTCATCGAATTCATCGTGTCCAAAATTGCTTGTATTTTGTGTGCAAATAATTAGTTTTCAATCACCCAGATAAGCCACCGTAAATATTGTAATATAAAATGTGTAGTTGTATTTTCTACAGGTAGCGTTTCATAAACAGCTGTATAGTGTAAAAGTTAGTGATTCACTGATATTAAAGCAAAGTTAAATGTGATGTGAATATGAGAATACATTTACGAAGAATTGTGCTGTTAGTGAGCATCATTAATACGATTTTTGTGTTAGTCTACTTTTTCAAATCACAAACAATATCTTTATCAGTCGATGGTGAACAAAGTCACCCGAGAGAAAGAGTTCTAACTGTGGGCCTACGTCCGCAGATACCAGTTCCTAGAGACAATCTCAGAAACATTGGTTCAACTTTGAAGTACATTGAACGAAAATCTGGAAGTTGTCAAAATGAAATAGAGAGACCAATCAATGTGGAGGACACAGAAACATGGCAAAAAGTGGGAGGCAAAACAAATACTTATGTCTTTTCAGCCTTTTTTGACGGAGTAAATAACCCTGTCATTCGGATACTTGCACTTACAGAAAGGGGTTCCTCACAAGGTCTATTTTGTCAGTTATGGTATAACGATACCAAAGAAGAATTACGAGTTATAGCACCAATAAAGAAACATATTCCTGAAGACCATTCCAAGAGGTAATGTTATTTTGATAAAATTTAAAACTAAAGTGTTAATTCAACTCTATATTTTTTATATTTCATTGAATCACACGTTTTACTGAATGATCTACCTTCGCCAATTCTTGTCCGATTTTACTTATGAGGCAAATTGACTGCAGTCAAAAGACTTCTTATTGCAAGTATGTCTACAGAATAGGTGTAAAGGCTAGGATGTTACTGTAAGGTGAAATAAAAATAAGACGATGTGACAACTTTCCAAACAATCCTCCCCATATCTCCTTCCTTCCATTACAATTTTCAGTCAGATTTTGGTGCTTCTTGCAATTCCAATAAAACTAGATTATCAGCGATGGTGACGTCATTAAACGGTTTAGTTGAATTGCAAGGAAAACCTCAGACGTTAAGCTGGACCTCCGTTGTTTTCGCCTATCGCAATGCTAACCACACTTCGGTGTGAAGCTTTGATGGAATGGCGGACCAATTTACTCAGACGTCTGATTGATAATTGGAATCTTGCAAATAGATTATCAGTGTCTCCGATACACATAAAGAGTTTATAAAACCTCTTTACAATCAGTTGAAGTGTAAATTTGAATCACTATCTTTCAGATATGCAGCTACAATATATTTGTGTAATTTGATGACAAAAGAAATACCCTATGCCGTGTCATTAACTAGTGCCAGATGCCAGAGACCAACAAATCTCTTACCAATCAACAATCAAATGCAGAAAGAGTTTCAATTTTCGTTGTGTTTAACTCCATTTAGTATACGATATAGCAGAGCATATGAACTGGTAGAAATGATAGAATTGAATCGTATTTTAGGAGTTGATAAATTCATCTTCTACAACTATTCTACTGGTGTAAATGTTGACGAGGTTCTAAAGCACTATACATCAAAAGGAATCGTTAAAGTTATTCAGTGGCATTTACCAGTCCGTGTAAATCAATGGCCCCAAAATCATAAGGAAGAAGTGCATTACTTTGGACAGCTAGCTTCATTAAATGATTGTCTCTACAGAAATCTGTATTCCAGTGAACATCTAGTCTACACAGATTTGGATGAATTTATAGTGCCTCGTAATGCTGATAATTACAAGGAGTTGATTCGTAAATTGGATACACGACCTTTATCAAATGGTGCCTTTATTTTCCGATGTGTGTTTTTTAGAAAAGAGTGGCCTCAAATAAAAGGTGATTTTAAAGGTCGGAAAGAAGCAGAAAAATTTAAATCGATTACGTTATTGACTACAAGTAGAGAAAAAAGGATATGGCCGACGTATCAAAGATCTAAGTACATTGTGAAACCTAAAGGTGTAGAAGTAGTCGGTATTCATAATATCTGGTCATATCGTTCTGGCTATTCATCTCTACCAATTGATTCAAGTAATGCCAGACTTCATCATTATAGAAGTTGGGAGAATCCTAATGATCAACAAGAAAGACAAGAGGATTTCATCATACACGAGAAATATAAAGATCGGTTGATAGAACAACTCAAATTAACATGGCGAAAGTTACCAAATGTTGTTCTAAATATTCCCATTCAAAATTACACATTCCCTTTGTGATATAGACTACATAAGCCTATAGAACAGAATTTTACTATTAAAACCACTAAAACATGTTTGTCGTTATCCATGCATGATTTGAATCTTGTAAATAGTGTTTTATGAATTCACATTCTTCTATCATGCAGAACGAATTCAAATGCATAACCTCAATTGCTTTTGACCTTTTCCCTTGTTTTGTATAAGCACGATATTCTAACATGTTGTTTGTGAGCTTGTTATTATTTTCATACATCTACAAATCTTCGTTAAAATTACTAATTAAAGAGATATTATGGTCATCTAATAATTATCTGTTATCATTTTTCTGTTGAATGATAAAAGCGGGAAAAATGCTGACATGTTTCCATCGATTCCATAAGATTGAAATTCACTGAATAAAATTGCTTTAAGCTAAGATTCCATAAACGCGTCATGCGGGTCCGTCATGCGGACATAAATGGCCCTTGCGGATCCGCCATGCGTCAAATATGATTCCATATGTGCGTTAAACGTATGCGTTATCTTTCTTTTGACACACGGACTTCTGGACAGATGGGTGCTTTGGTACATAAAAAAGACAGGGAATCCCCACAAAATACGTCACATTTTGGAGATCTCCGCGCGGAAAGGTGTCCGGATGCGCCAAAAATCGCTACACCCGGCGATTTTTTTTTGAGGCATGACGGAGACCGCTTCCGCATATATGGAATCATACCCTCTAAAACCAACCATTTCGATTTTTAACGCATGACGGATGACGCATGACGGATCCGCATGACGAGTATATGGAATCTTAGTTTTAGACAGAAAAAAGTACATATCTGCATTCTGCATTGCAAAAAGTGAAAAAAAAGACTCAATTTCAATTAAGCTGTGCAACCAAGCCGATCGTTAATTTTGTCCGCTTCACGTGACCTGGTGACGTCATATATGAAAAACAAGACAAGAAGCTCAGTACTCACACCACACCATCCAGGGCCGAGTTTCACCGCCATGTCATTCGACCCGACCAGATCTAACGAAGAATCAACAACCAAACCAACAACACCGAATCATCCTATTTGATCCAATCCAACTACCAACTACTACGACTACCAACAACTACCTAGTTTGCGATATCAGCATCCGCTGGAAGCGAACGTTAACTTGTCATCTACCTACCTACCTAGAAGCTCAATTGATTCAATGGGGAATACGAATACTCCCGTTAAACCCATCAGTTTTAGCCGACTCGCAACCCCTTCCTACGATCAGCTCGCGAATGTAATTTGTCTCTCAGGTGGAAGGACACTTGAAAGTTTCTCGAGTTAGTTGATAGCACAAACTCTCAGGTTGTTACTCGCAATAAAATTTACTGTCAATTTCTCTCAAATGGAAGGAGCACTGACAGTTCTCTTGCGAGTAAATCGCGAAGACTTGTCATTTTAACATTCAAAAGCGGATAATTCTGGACACACATGGATTTGAAGGCTCAAATTTCCAACACTATTACTGATTGAATTGGCTAACAAATTCCCGACTAATCTATGATTGGTCAAAAAAATGGGTCAACTTCCATTTAACGTAAACAGCCTGTAGCGAACGGGCCTTAGTTTATTGCCACATCCAACGACTAAACGCTTTCATAACAGCTATTCCACTGATAGGGGGAAACCGGGTTGGATAATCCGAAGATATTATCTCGACTTATGCCGGGACGGAACCCTAGACCTTCACAAGGGCACACAGGTCTACCGATTTTTCGACCTAACGCCGTACGATTTTTCGACGGCGTCAAATTATCGAACATCTGTCTCTAATCCAGCCTCTGATAGACATTTGGGCATTTGTAAGCTGGTATAGAGACAGAAATAATAAGCCGACTTAATTGGGAACATTCCTCATCTCTGCAGGTGCGAGGGTTTTAAACCTATTTGAATACCTCGGATCCGACAAACTCCGATATATTAGGCTTCATATGTGATATTGGAATTATCAACCAGCGGCCCCTGACTGACCCAGATAAATTGTGTGCCACCACGTTTTCAGTGACCATATAGTGAGCAGCAAGATGGAGGGAAAACTCTCTATTGACTGATGAAACAACATACGTCTGAAGAAAGGAGCAGCTATATAACTGTCTGTTTACGGCACATCCGAGATGGTCATATTTGCGAGCGGTTTTTGTGCTTTGCAGAGTCACCTGACCTAACTGGTTCCGGATTGACAAAGCAACTCTGAAAAATTCTGGAATTGAAATTGAAAACATGGTTGGGCATGGTTATGATGGAGCCAAAGCTATGTCCAATCATAAAATGGTGTACATGCGTGACGAATGTCCAGCCGCCATGTACACGCTTTGCGTCTCGCATTCGTTAGATTTGTGTCTCATGAAGGCGGGTGAGAATATTCGTAAGGCAGTCAGACTCATGCATGAGGTTGTATTGCAGTATTCTTCAATGACTGCAACACACGAATTCTGAATCTTGAATCGAAAATCATGAGTGTGAGTCTCTCTGGAAGTCTTGATTGCTGCGCTTGAAGTCACAAAGCAGTGAAGTTACAGGTGGTGCGCAGGCTATTCATCATGTCATTGAAAGTCCATGACTGCGTAACGGTCTTACAGCAAATGCGGACAGACGAGACAATATTCCACAACTCCTTGCACAGGGGAAATATTCTGATACGACCAAAATGCAGAAACATCGACCAAACCACCCCGCAGACACACCAGAAGAATACACCGACTGACGGTTTTCATCCCCTACCTTGATGCCAGCCTTAATCAGCTCAAGGAGAGATTTCAGTCCAACAGTGCCAAAGCGTATTCATTGAGCTTTTTAATCTGTATATGTAACGATTTAGATCAATCCGTGCTCGAGGTAGCAGCTGAATAATTTATCACTTTTCTTGCGGGGGGAGCAGACTATATGAGTGCAGAAGTGGTGCGATGGAAATCAATCACTTGCTACTCGACCAAGGCGGGTATTTGATGCTGCATTGGTTGCCGTGAAAATGGGTACCTATCCAGTTAAAGAAATGCTTTTAAGAATTTTCGCGACCTTGCCCGCAACAACAGCTACGGATGAACGCTGATTTAGTGCTCTGAAATTAATAAAAACATATTTACGATCAACTATAAAAGAATAACAACTAAATGGATTGGCTCATCTGTTCATCAATATGGATATCAAATTGATTCATGTGTATGTCATTCATGAATTCGGTACAATCGGGGACTTATGTTCTTTTAGTGCCGTGGTTTTTAACCACAATCTCATGTGGACGTATAATGCCGTCCCCTGTCCGGCCGTTCATCCAATAGTCCGTCCGTCTTCAGTTAGCTTGTGTACTCGATAGAATCTACAGTTTTTATATAATTTGGTGTGTATATGTATTTCTATTTCCATCTCCGACACTTAGACATGTGGGCGTATCTTGCTAAAATATTTTGAAAGTTACATTTCTGTTGGTTTTTTTTATACGCTCACTTAAAACATATAAAATATTTTATGAGCTAGAGCTCTTGTTCTTCAAAAACGCTTCAAAAAAATTTTGCCTGATTTTGATTAACTCTACTGAGTTATTGCAGATTTTCTTCAAATTTTAAGCTTCTGCAAAATTCTTGACGATTATTGATAAATCCTATTAAACCCGTCCCATCCCTCCTCCCCACCACCAATTTTTTTTAAAATAATTTCTATTCAAATAATAAGCCAGTGGCAAACTTACAAACTTTTATGATTGAAATTTGCATTTTTTTTTTTATCGCGAAAATGTAATTAATTATAAGAATACTCTTTCAGATTGCATAAAGTGAAAGATTGCGGCCTTTTATTTTAAGGAATTCTGATGATTATTCATTAACACATTAAATTACTACCAGACCTACTTTTCTTCTACCACCAGTCCAATAATCTTTTGTATTACTTATCCAATAACATCCCCTACTACAAGTCCAATAATACCCCCTTCTACCAGTCCAATAATCTGTTGTAATACTAGTCCAATAACACCCCCTACTACCAGTTCTAAATCATCTCCTATTACTAGTCGAACAACATCTATTACAAGCCCTACAACATCCTCTTCTATCAGACCTACTTTTCTTCTACCACCAGTCCTTAAAGATGGGTTCCCTTATTTTATTTATAAAATGCTAATACTTATATTCATGAATAGAAAGTATATAGAGGTATTCTATTGACTTGGAAAGTACCAGTTTGTCTCACATGTCCATAATTAATTCATAATTAGCTAAATATATGAGGAAATTACCAGCAGAATTTCAATGAGTGACCGATCAAGAAAGGTCAAAAAGTGTTATTTTTGTTTGTACTGTACTTACATGGACATTTATGATTGGTTAAAACTATTAATTATAGCAATAAGAACATAATGATTCGATTGGGAATACATGATAATTCATTAGAAACACCAATTAATCAAATAGTTTGCCTCAATTAAAACTAAGAATATTAGGAAACCCATCATTAAACATCCCCTACTTCCAGGTCAAAAACATCCCCAACGACCAGTCCTACAAATCCTCTACCATCAGTCGAACTGTTTGACTCTAACAACACCCACTACAAAATCTACACCATTCCCTACTACTAAGTCCAACAACTTCCCCCACTACAGTCCAGCAACATTTCCCCGTCTACACTACTGGTAGTTGGTGATGTTGTCGGACTAGCAGAAAGGGGGAGATGAACTGGTAGTAGGTAATATGTAGGCCTGGTAGTCGATGATGTTGTTGGACTAGTCTCGTCGATGTTATTGGACTGGTAAATGGAGATATTGTTTAATGGTGATAGGTGATAAGATAGGTGATATTGGTGATAGGAGTTGCTGTTGGAACAGTAATGGGGGAGATTGTTGGACTGGTGGCAGGGAATCTTGTAGGATGGGTTGTTAGTCATGTTTTTGGACTGGAAGTTGGAGTGGTTAGACTTGTAATAGCGGACTGGTGGTAAGAGACGTTTGTTGGACTTGTAGTAGAAGATGTTGTAGGACTGTTTATTATTAGGTGACGT